GTTCAATGGAAAAGTAAAAATTCATCAAGGTCAGCTTCCCTGGAGCAATCTGGGGCTGCTAGACATTTTTGCCATCCTGAAATTGGAGGTCAAGACTGTGGGACACTCCTTGGAACAGTCTCAGGTAGATCACACAAGATACAACTTCAGCAAAAAGACAAAAATCTCCTCAGATACCTGCCTTGGAGACGTCCGGGGCAGCTGCCTGGGATATCAAGTGCCTAAACCTGAGAGGAAAAGATTCTGAGAGATGCCAGGAGGAGTCTCCAGTGCACCCTGGCATAGAGAAATGCTTTCAAAGGAGCAAAATCATCTTGGGAATCTTCCCTGTAAGAATCTTGGGTTGCCACCCAGGATCTCAGCTCCTTCCACCTCTGTGTGTCAAAGACTCCAGGAGATGCCTGGAAGGAATCTCAGGGAGATCCTGAAAGATGCAGGTTCACTGCAAAAGCAAAAACTGATCAAGGTCAGCTTCCCTGGAGCAACTGGGGGCTGTCAAGACAGGATTTCTTGTCCTGAAACTGGAGGTTGAGATTCTGAGAGATGCCTGGGAATATTGTCGGGTAGATTCACCAAAGATCCAATTTAAAAGAGAAAAAGAGGAAAAGACAAAAATCTCCTCAGGTACCTGCCTTGGAGCAGTCTGGGGCTGCTGCCTGGGATATCAAGTGCCTAAACCAGTGACAAGACTCTGGCAGATGCCAGGAGGAGTCTCCGGTGCATCCTGGCATAGAGAAATGCTTCCAAATGAGCAAAACCATCTTGGAAACCTTTCCTGGAGGAACCTGGGGCTGTCTCTTGGGAGCTCTGCTTCCTCAAGGAGGTGTGAAGATGCTGGGACATACCTGGGAGCAGCCACAAGTGGATTCTAGAGTGAAAACTCCAAAGGAGAACAAACATACTGAGAACCTTTCCTGGAAGACTGTGGGCCTGTGGTTATCAAATCAGGTCGCAAAATGAGAGATCAAAAGACTCCAGGAGAATCCTGGGAGGAATCTCAGGTGAATCCAGGAGAATAACATTTCCCATGAGAGGGTAGAAATATCTGAGGCAGCTCATGGACAAGGACATCTCCAACCAGAGAGAGCTGCTCAAAGCCCCCTCCAACATTGCTCTGGATCTTCCCAAGGATGGGCGCCCAACACCTCCCAGGGCAGCCTGTTCCTCACTTTCACCACCAGATTTTTTGTAAAAAATCTCTGCCTCATGCTGGGGTCTCCTGGATGACTGGGAGGAGCAGCAGGCCAGAGGAGTTCATGGAAGGGATATAATATAATATAATATAATATAATATAATATAATATAATATAATATAATATAATATAATATAATATAATATAATATAATATAATA